AGAAGATTAAAAGGAGGCAGTTTGGAAAGGCTGGGAGGGAGATAAAACCCAGGGAGCATGAAAAGGTTGTCAGCACCCAGGGAGCAGGAGGAGGAGGAGGAGTGTTTGATGGGGAGCAAGAGGCAGGCAGGCAGGAGGGCTGCAAGGGGAAGGAAGCAAAGGAAGGCGTAGCAGCAGCAAAATCCACCCTGTGCTGTTCTGCTGGTTTTCCCCAGGGGAGATTATCCCATGAAGACAGCTTAAAATAGAACTTACAGAGCACTTCAGGGTATACCTCAGGCAACAGCCATATATTTTTGGGGGGAGATTTCCAGGGGTGAATCCAGCTGGGCCAGAACTCCTTGGACTTCTGGAGCTGAAGCACTAGGTGTTTTCATGAAGCACTTTGTGGCACCAGGAGGTCACAGACCTGAAGGTGCTGGTGAGAATTGCACAGGGAGAAGAGGAGGAATTAAAACAGGACCCAAAGTATTCACAGAGCCCAGAGCTGCTTTATCATCATGCTCTGGAAAAAAAGAGCAAAGCTGAAGCTTTTAAATCACCTGCTGTCCTCCTGTGGTGTGTTTAGCTCAGCTCCATCTCTTCCTGGGGTGTCCCTGGGCCACTGCTCCACTGCAACCAAACCCAGAGGGTTTCTCCTGCTGTTGAAAGAGGCAGGTTTTTCACCAGAGGGGATGATCCCTGGTCCCACGTGGATTTGGTGGCTGTTCAGAGAGTGCCAACGAAACATGGATCAAAACCCTGTGAATGTTTCCATTGACATTCACTCAAACTGCCTCTGGCATCCTGTGAAATCTGTTCCCAGGAAATGCTCATTGAAGAGACACAGTTTGCAGCAGAAAGACAAAGAATGGCTGTGCCAGGAACTGTGGATGCAACACAGCCCCCAGGCTGGGGAAGAGGAAGGCAAGAAATCCAAATATCCTTATATAAAAGGTAGAAATGCTTAGTTCAGGAAAATTTGGGAAGTTCCCACCAGGATACTGGAAAAATGAGCCAAGGAATCGCTGAGCTGCTGCCAGTTAACCCCACAATTCCCACAAGCTGGGGGTTTCTGGAGGACCTTAGGGAAAACAGAAATCAGGCAGCTCCAGACCCTCTGACCGCTGGAAAGATGCCGAAGAAGTCACCAATCCATCACTTGGATGATGATGTCCTGGATTGTCACGGGGAGATCACATCAAACATGTCATTTCTCCTTTGGGCAGGTGCATGGCCCACCCAGGGAAGCCGTGCCACCTCTTGACTGAGGGGAGGATTTCGACCCTACCCCACCTTAATTCTCATCAACTAATTTTCAGCCCCATGGAATTATGCAGAGAGGAGATTTAAAAAAAAAAAAAAAAAAAAAAAAAGAGGAGAAAGAACAGGTTTAATTAGGAAGCTTCACTGTGGGGGGTTTCAGGTAGTTGGCTGCCTACTCATAAGGATTTCTCCAGAAGAATCTCACTAGAGTCTGTCCTGTCTCTAGTGCTAATCAATATTTTAAATAATTACTTGGGTGAGGAGAGAAGCGGGAGCTAATAAAATTAGTGTTGTGGATGGCAGGGTTGGAATTCAAATAATTCCCAGCAGGCTGGGAGGAATGGCCTGAAATGGATAACACTGGGATTTATCACCCAGAGCAAAGCAGGAAGGAGGGCTGGGGTGCCAAACCTGCCCTGTGAGAAAGGGGATGTGGCAGCCAAGGGGCAGAGGGAAGATCAGATGTTTTCAAGGAGAAAAAATGTAATTTGGGGAAAAAGATGGAGGGGCAGGAACAAGCTTCCCTTCAGAGAGGAGCCTGAGTGAGCTGCAGTGCCCTGGATCCAGTGGTGGAAGGCTTTAGGCAGGAGTTTTAAGCTCATATGATCCCCCTTAAATTAACTTGGCATTCACCAGAATTCACTTGCTGTCCTGTGAGGAGAAGATACAACCCCTTGTACTCTGAGGCATAAAAATTATCTCCCCCTATTGCTAAACAGAATATGTTTTCCTACTCATTGCAGAGTGTATCTCCCCCAGTTGGGCTCACTCGAAGGTCCAAGCAAACAGAGCAGAATAAATCAGGAATTATCTGCTGTGTTTGGAGACAGGTTGAGCAATGATTACTCATGAAATATGAAATTCATCTTCGGGGTTTAATGCACTGGGTACAAAGTTGTGCAGGAGCTCTTGTTGTGAAAGGCTCCGAAATTACTGTGGCGAGGGAACAACATCCTTTATCCTGAGGATCTGATAAGAGCTGACACTGCATCACTGAGCATATTCCCAGCTTCATCCTAATCTGCTGCTTTCAGGGTGCTGAAGGACAGAAGTGTTTTCAGACAGAGCTGATAAAAATGCTGCCAGAACATTTTAATCCCTCACTTTTCCAGTCAAGGTGTCATCTGCCAAAGAGACCGGAACCCGGGGTGCTTCCAAGCTGTGCACGCTGGGATAACTTTCTGACCAAACTCCAGGAAGAAAAAAAAAAAAAACAACATTCCCAGGCTAAACTTGCTGTTGAATTCTTAGAGCTGCTCTTAAAAAAAAAAAAAATTTTCCTTTCCACTCTCCCCATCTCCTGCTTCTCTCAGTGCTGTAACCTAAATACACACTGGCCACAGGAAATTTTGGGGACTCTGTTCTCGTCTTTCTTCACCCCCACCCCAGTTTCTGATTTCTTTCTGCAGGAGTGCTCTGGAGCGAAGGCTGGGCACAAATAAAATAGAGATATTCCAAAGTCCTTGCAAACAGGCCACTTAGGGAGGGCGAGGGTCTGG